GCGTTTAGTGCTAGAAACACCTAGTTTCCCATCGCCCCGGCTAATATTCACTATTTGCGCTCCGGTGAAATGAGAAACTGGCGCTTGCTCCTTCGTCAGACAGAGGCGTCAAAATGAACTGAATAAACTAGTGAACATATTGCCAATTGCTATTCAAGCAATCAAAAACTTGTCAAACTTTTTATACCAGACACAACATAAAAAAAGAACATGACATCACATTATCTTGATGCAATGCCTTTGTATGACGTCACCGGCGTTAACGTCTTCCTGTCAGGGACACCCAACGACAATTTTCGGAAAATATCTGTTCGGAAGACGATTTGACATCTAGAATTTTCGGAACATTTGTTGTAAAATTTCTTGCTTGCCTGCCTTTCCTAAGATTTTCGAACATCTAAAAACTACTATAATTGCCTATTTTTAACGGATTTTTACCGTTAAAACGTCAAAAAAATTTTCGGGAGCCTTTTTTCTGGCTGAAATTCTCGAAAAGGTAAGTTTTGATCCCTATAATTTTCGGATCACTAGACTTTCAGCTAGGAAATCCGAACAGATGAAAAATTTTTAGGGGATAAAAATATGCCTATATCTACTATTTAAATACTAAAGTAAGTTTAACAATGCTATGTTTAAGTGGTTTTGAACTATATTCTCGTTGGGTGCCCCTGTTCCTGTGCTAAAAGGGTTCTAGCCGGTGACTCTTATGCTACTACCTCCACTGCTAGTAGTAGTACTCAGCGACTACTGAGGTCTTAAAATTGTTTAAATTTTAACGTACCGCTTTGTCTGTTGCCGCACTTGCTGAAGTCACAAATGTAACTGGACGAGTTGCGTCCAGGATTCGCGTGAACTCAATTACCGATCTGTCCAAATGAATAAATATACACAAAGTTAAAACTTGCGAGAGGCAACTGTTCCCCTTAGATATGAGAATGGTACAAATATCATACATTATCAAAGATAGTTATCAATCATTCTTTGTTTCGAAGTGAAAAGAGCAAAGTGAACAAGTATCAAGGGATAACGAGGTTCCAAAGATTAAATTCTATTAGCCTCAAGGTCAATCTAAGCTGAACATTCCTTGGAACTAGAAAATAAACGCGGCCTTGTGATCGTTTGTTCTTTCCACATCTTCATATGCCAAGACGTTCTTCGGAAGATTTTAGGTAGAAGTACCAGAAGGTGCTACCGGGGAATTTGAATAACTCAAACTGTCTGACATAACAACCCAATATAGGTGACAATCCCGACTCCTTTTTTGGGGGCGGCACCAGTTAAATTAATTGAATTCTCTCGATTCAGATTTCGTTAACAGTTAGACCTTGCAAAAGGTGACAAAAATGACCAGTTTGAAGGAAAGCAGCGCCTATTGTTTCATAAACTCTTTAGATCCCTTTAGGCGAAGACTGGAAGTGAATTTTGGGGTCTGGGATTTGTTCAAAACACGGTGCAGGATTTGGGAAAACGCAAAACTCAAAATAATTTGTCAGGAAACGGGATTTTACTGCTAAGTAAACGCAGAAGCAGGATTCGTGGGCAAATGATGTGTACTTTACGCGGGTTTTTTAACATGCCTGTCGTAAATTCGAGAAATCGTCACGACTCAAACGTGTCATGTTACATATTCTAGAAGCAAATGCGAATTTCAAACCAAACTATAGACACAAAAAACAGGATTCAGTAAAGCGGATATAAAAAGGCGGGATGCGGTATGAGGGATATTCGTGAAAAAAGGAGCGGGGAATGCGGGATCAGGACCCCCTTCCAGATTCTTTTTCGTGAAATTGAAAGTTTTTAAATGAGGTTAATTTTAAGGCTAAAAACATGGCTAATTCTGCTATGTGATCTCCTTTGATGCTAAGAGTTCACAGAGTTGCTACGAATAGCCTGATTGGCAGGCCTTGCAGAATAGGGTGGGGAAAACAATGAACGAAAAATGTTACCAATGGAACCTAGCCCCAAAATAAAAGAGTTGTAGCCTGAAAAAGAGCTGCGACACATAGCGATCCAATATGCTGGGTAGCAGGCGTCATTTCCGTCTACTTTTAGCAAAGTGGGAGAAGGGCAGGAGAAGCGTGAGGGTATGGGGTGTAAAGGAACAAAGGAAATTGAGATGAATGCTACACAGGTTAAGCTACGTGCAAACGAAAGCAACAACTCCCAGCATTGTTGCCCCAACAATGTTGTGAGCTGTAGCCTGTTCCAGGCATTCAGATAGTGGGGAGCGGTGTGAAGTAAAAAGGAGTGTAAAAAAATAAAATCTAGGGAGGAGGAGAGCACTTGAAACAGGCTATGTGAGCTGTTGCATCCGTTTGCACATGGCTAAAAGTTTGACCGGTTTCAAACTTTGCGCAGCAACTCCCAACAACACATAACAACATACAACAGGGTGTGCAAACGGACCCAACATGTAACATCCAACAAGGCTGCCTCCATTTGCAAGGAGCTTAAGGGGTCCAATTCAATTAAAATTCTGAAAGAGACACAAGCTAGCTACTGCGAGGATCAGAGAGTGAATAATGTCAACAATGATATGCTTATGAGGCAAAACTGCACACCGGGATTAGACCAGCAAGCCTTAGTTTTTATGATAATACTAACAATAGGTGAAGTCTTACTGGAAGTAGGATGTCGCCTTTGAAGAATAAGATGCTGGTTCATTTGCTACAGACCACATAACAACTGATGGCCGGTTCTTGTCGCGGCGGACCAACTCAGCCATAACATCCAAATGATGGTGGAGAGTGGCATTCATTAGGTTCTCTCTATAAGAACACAAGACATTTAAGTGCATGTTACAGTTAAGTGGACAGAAATGAATTGTTGGCTTATTAGCTAAATTGGTAGAGCGCTGCACTGGTATAGCAGAGGTTAAGGGTTCGAATCCCGTACAAGCCTGAATTTTTTTTTCAGGCTTTCTTTTCACACCTGCATAAGTTGAGTATATAACTGCAATGATCTTCCTTCAAATTTAATAATCCTTCACTCCGCTGTTCACATATATGATTTTCATAATTCATAATTTCATCATCATCCTTTCACGGGTTTATAACGAACCAATTCAATGACCTACTCCCAGTTGGCTAATGTTAGCTTAATTGGTAGATCGCTGCACCGGTATTGCAGAGGTCAAGGGTTTAAATCCCGTACAAGCCTGAATTATTTTTCAGGCTTTCTTTTCGCAACTGCATAAGTTGCGTATATAACTGCGATGATCTTCTTTCAAATAAGAAATGAATTGTGTAGGTTATGGTAAAAGTGTGGCAATAGATTTCTTTTGAACAAATGTAAACAATTCTGACACTTGGAAGAAATAATAATTAGAAATCAACTATTAATATTACAAATCAGCTAATAACTTATTTCTGACTAATCACATACCTGTTAATCCCAACTCCGGGGCTTTCATCAATGACAACAATTCCCTGCTGATCTGCCATGTCCATGATTTCATCAGCATAAGGATAGTGACTGGTTCTGAAACAGTTTGCTCCAAGCCATTTAATCAAATTGAAGTCTTTAGCAATGATAGCATAGTCCATACCCTTGCCACGAATCTGTAATACAAAATAAGTTATTTTAGTTTATTTAGACTATTGCTGCTCAGATCTAGAGATAGTTCTTCATATACTCTATGGAACTGGTGAGAAGAAATAAAAGAGTCGGTTCCCTCGCCCCCATGTACAACTGGTACTCACATCAGCATCTTCATGCTTGCCAAATCCTTTAAAGTAGAATGGCTCATTGTTGATGAGAAACTTCGTTCCCTTCACCTCCACTGTTCGAATACCCACAGGCAGGCGGTAGACATCCTCTGATGCTGGTGAAACTGACTGAGTTGTAACCTAACAAAATATATCACAAAATACAGTCCCTTTTTCCAGGGGAAATACTCTCACTAGATTATACTTTATCAAGTTACAAACTCTAATTCCAAAATTAACATGAGTTTCATTAATCATAGCTGCATGCCATCCGCGATTAGAGAATTTTCCGTAATGCTACTGAATTCTCCAGCTAACGTTCAATAGCTTTTGACTATTTTTAACTCAGATGTGGTCCTCTTTCAAAATATTCTCCTGTAAAGTTACACCTTTCTCCTGCTACTAGAATTCTTAATTAATTAAACCCTGCTGTATTTCCATTTAAATAATTTTTTTCCGAAGTTATTTCTTACACTTGCAGTATAAGGTAACTTAAACCAACCACCTCTAAAATACAACATTAAAAAAAAATTTCCCCTCTCAGGTTGAAAAATATTTCACTCATTTTTCATTCATATAATATCCTCTATTTTGTCACAAAGAAACATAATGTACATTTCACCAAGTACATGATAATTAAAAAGAACATTCATTACACTGTTTAGTATTACAGTTTGATGGGCCAAGAAGACAAATAAAGGATTATTTCGTCTACAGATAAAACCTTCAATACCTTTAATGAGTAGAGATATGCAGGCTGGTCACTCATTCCAACAGGCCACCAAAGCTCTGGATTTTTCACCATCAATTTTCCATCAAACATATCTGGACCTTCTGCAGATGCAACCACAGTTCCAGCCTTATCAATAATTTCATACTTCATCGATACATTCACAGGGCCTGCAGATGACGATACCATTGAGTGAAAGTTGACTACGCCCTCCTCATTAGAATGGCTTGTTGTTATTGTGATGTCAGATAAGTATACTGCAGGAGTGGTGTAAAGTTTGACAGGGCGGTGAATCCCAGCATAATTGAAGAAATCAAAGGTAAATTCTTGAACAAAATATCCTGGAGGATACCTGAAAACAAAAAGGATTTTGAATTTAAAAATAAAGTTTAAATCCAAATCCTGCTATGTGCATAGGGAACTTCTCTAAAACACCTATTTATTTATGTATATGCTGTCCAATGCAATCCTGATTTAGTACTCCTTATCTAAAATGGAGTATCTGATGTGAGATATTTTTTTAGATATAGGTGTAAACCTCTGTACCTTTGTATTAAACATGTTTAAGTCACAAATGTAACTGGACGAGTTGCGTCCAGGATTCGCGTGAACTCAATTACCGATCTGTCCAAATGAATAAATATACACAAAGTTAAAACTTGCGAGAGGCAACTGTTCCCCTTAGATATGAGAATGGTACAAATATCATACATTATCAAAGATAGTTATCAATCATTCTTTGTTTCGAAGTGAAAAGAGCAAAGTGAACAAGTATCAAGAGATAACGAGGTTCCAGAGATTAAATTCTATTAGCCTCAAGGTCAATCTAAGCTGAACATTCCTTGGAACTAGAAAATAAACGCGGCCTTGTGATCGTTTGTTCTTTCCACGTCTTCATCTGCTAAGACGTTCTACGAACATTTTAGGTAGAAGTACCAGAAGGTGCTACCGATGAATTTGAATAACTCAAACTGTCTGACATAACAACCCAATATAGGTGACAATCCCGACTCCTTTTTTGGGGCGGCACTAGTTAAATTAATTGAATTCTCTCGATTCAGATTTCGTTAACAGTTAGACCTTGCAAAAGGTGACTATAATGACCAGTTTGAAGGAAAGCAACGCCTATTGTTTCATAAACTCTTTAGATCCCTTTAGGCGAAGACTGGAAGTGAATTTTGGGGTCTGGGATTTGTTCAAAACACGGTACAGGATTCGGGAAAACGCAAAACTCAAAATAATTTGTCAGGAAACGGGATTTTACTGCTAAGTAAACGCAGAAGCAGGATTCGTGGGCGAATGATGTGCACTTTACTCGGGTTTTTTAACGTGCCTGTCGTAAATTCGAGAAATCGTCACGACTCAAACGTGTCATGTTACATATTCTAGAAGCAAATGCGAATTTCAAACCAAACTATAGACACAAAAAACAAGGATTCAGTAAAGCGGATATAAAAAGGCGGGATGCGGTATGAGGGATATTCGTGAAAAAAGGAGCGGGGAATGCAGGATCAGGACCCCCTTCCAGATTCTTTTTTGTGAAATTGAAAGTTTTTAAATGAGGTTAATTTTAAGGCTAAAAACATGGCTAATTCTGCTATGTGATCTCCTTTGATGCTAAGAGTTTACAGAGTTGCTACGAATAGCCTGATTGGCAGGCCTCGCAGAATAGGGTGGGGAAAACAATGAACGCAAAATGTTACCAATGGAACCTAGCCCCAAAGTAAAAGAGTTGTAGCCTGAAAAAGAGCTGCGACACATAGCTGTCCAATATGCTGGGTAGCAGGCGTCATTTCCGTCTACTTTTAGCAAAGTGGGAGAAGGGCAGGAGAAGCGTGAGGGTATGGGGTGTAAAGGAACAAAGGAAATTGAGACGAATGCTACACAGGTTAAGCTACGTGCAAACGAAAGCAACAACTCCCAGCATTGTTGCCCCAACAATGTTGTGAGCTGTAGCCTGTTCCAGGCATTCAGATAGTGGGGAGCAGTGTGAAGTAAAAAGGAGTGTAAAAAAATAAAAGCTAGGGAGGAGGAGAGCACTTGGAACAGGCTACGTGAGCTGTTGCATCCGTTTACACATGGCTAAAAGTTTGACCGGTTTCAAACTTTACGCAGCAACTCCCAACAACACACAACAACATACAACAGGGTGTGCAAATGGACCCAACATGTAACATCCAACAAGGTTGCCTCCATTTGCAAGGAGCTTAAGGGGTCCAATTCAATTAAAATTCTGAAAGAGATGCAAGCTAGCTACTGCGAGGATCAGAGAGTGAACAATGTCAACAATGATATGCTTATGAGGCAAAACTGCACACCAGGATTAGACCAGCAAGCCTTAGTTTTTATGATAATACTAACAATAGGTGAAGTCTTACTGGAAGTAGGATGTCGCCTTTGAAGAATAAGATGCTGGTTCATTTGCTACAGACCACATAACAACTGATGGCCGGTTCTTGTCGCGGCGGACCAACTCAGCCATAACATCCAAATGATGGTGGAGAGTGGCATTAATTAGGTTCTCTCTATAAGAACACAAGACATTTAAGTGCATGTTACAGTTAAGTGGACAGAAATGAATTGTTGGCTTATTAGCTAAACTGGTAGAGCGCTGCACTGCACTTAATAATCCTTCACTCCGCTGTTCACATATATGATTTTCATAATTCATAATTTCATCATCATCCTTTCACGGGTTTATAACGAACCAATTCAATGACCTACTCCCAGTTGGCTAATGTTAGCTTAATTGGTAGATCGCTGCACCGGTATCGCAGAGGTCATGGGTTCAAATCCCGTACAAGGCTGAATTATTTTTCAGGCTTTCTTTTCGCAACTGCATAAGTTGCGTATATAACTGCAATGATCTTCTTTCAAATAAGAAATGAATTGTGTAGGTTATGGTAAAAGTGTGGCAATAGATTTCTTTTGAATAACTGTAAACAATTCTGACACTTGGAAGAAATAATAATTAGAAATGGACAATTAAATTAACAACTATTAATATTACAAATCAGCTAATAACTTATTTCTGACTAATCACATACCTGTTAATCCCAACTCCGGGGCTTTCATCAATGACAACAATTCCCTGCTGATCTGCCATGTCCATGATTTCATCAGCATAAGGATAGTGACTGGTTCTGAAACAGTTTGCTCCAAGCCATTTAATCAAATTGAAGTCTTTAGCAATGATAGCATAGTCCATACCCTTGCCACGAATCTGTGATACAAAATAAATTATTTTAGTTTATTTAGACTATTGCTGCTCAAATCTAGAGATAATTATTCATATACTCTATGGGACTGGTGTTATTATAAAAGTCGATTCCCTCCATGTACAACTGGTACTCACATCAGCATCTTCATGCTTGCCAAATCCTTTAAAGTAGAATGGCTCATTGTTGATGAGAAACTTCATTCCCTTCACCTCCACTGATCTAATACCCACAGGCAGGCGGTAGACATCCTCTGATTCTGGTGAAACTGCATGAGTTGTAACCTAACAAAATACATCACAAAAAACAAACTTTTATTCTAAGGAAAACAATCTCATTGAATATATTTTATGAAGTTACAAACTCTCATTCCAAAATAAGCATGAGTTTGATAGCTGCATGCCATTAAAATGGTCTACGTTTCCATTTAAGTATTTTTGCAGAAGTTATTTCTTACACTTGCAGTATATGGTAACTTAAACCTACCACCTTAAATTGCTATGTTAAAAGACACATTTTCCCCTCTCGTGTTGAAAAATTTTTCACTCATTTTTTCAGCCATATAATGTCCTCTATTTTGCAACACAGAACACAATGTACATTTCACCAAATACGATCAGATCATTAACATGAACATTCATTACATTGTATAGTATTACAGTTTGATGAGCCAAGAGGACAAATACAGTTAAAATCTTCAGTACCTTTAATGAGTAGAGATATGCAGGTTGGTCACTCATTCCAACAGGCCACCAAAGCTCTGGATTTTTAACCATCAATTTTCCGTCAAGCATGTCTGGACCTTCTGCAGATGCAACCACAGTTCCAGCCTTATCAATAATTTCATACTTCATCGATACATTCACAGGGCCTGCAGATGAGGATACCGTTGAGTGAAAGTTGACTATGCCCTCCTCATTAGAATGGCTTGTTGTTATTGTGATGTCAGATAAGTATACTGCGGGAGTGGTGTAAAGTTTGACAGGGCGGTGAATCCCAGCATAATTGAAGAAATCAAAGGTAAATTCTTGAACAAAATATCCTGGAGGATACCTGAAAACAAAAAGGATTTTGAATTTACAAATAAAGTTTAAATCCAAATCCTGCTATGTGCATAGAGAACTTCTCTAAAAAACCTATTTATTTATGTATATGCTGTCCAATGCAATCCTGATTTAGTACTCCTTATCTAAAATGGAGTATCTGATGTGAGATATTTTTTTAGATATAGGTGTAAACCTCTGTACCTTTGTATTAAACATGTTTTTAACAGAAGTTTACAAATTATGCATGCACTGGTAAAAAAAAATATTTTGTAGACCAGTAAAAATAAAAATTACCAACACTGAACAACAACCTTGCAATTCCAACAAGCCTCTGTCAGTAATAATAAGCAGGACAACTTGCCATTTACAAAGGGACACTAGAACTTCTATCCTGTCACTTGATGTCAGGTGATGCATTCCTTCTACTCTTCATAGTCGTATCAGTTTATTTGCTTACATTTTGTAGCCACATCACCAACAGATCAAGTTATCATGTGCTGAATGTTTATGAATATTGAATGAAATTTCAATCTGGACATGTTTTAACAATCACAAGCACCCTTTTGGGAACTCCTGTAACCTGATTGATTTTTAAGCCCCTTTGTACTCACCTGTCCCCTGTGAGATATTTGATTGCCCCAGGGGGGAGGGTGGAAGGTGTCAGTGTGTTATTGACCGCTGCTGTAATTCTGTTGACTTTATCATAGGACAACAGTGATGTTACATCAGCTTCAAATGGCAAGTGGCCTCCAGAATGAGTCATCACTTCTTTTCCATTCAGCCACTAATCAAAGAAAAAAGAAGTTCTCTTGTTCACACCATAAAATAGAAGTTGGTATTATTCACTCAAAATATTTCGACGTTTCTGATTGCCTTAAATCTCCTGGCTTATTCTTCATAACCAAACAGCATTGACAGATGGTATGTTAGACTGGAAACAAGGCTGTTTGGGTTAATTTTATACCATTTTATAACCTCACTTCTAAGTGTGGCCACGTAGCCGTTTATCCAGGAGTGAAAGACAAAAAAGTGGCATTTATGGCTATCTGACAAACAAAATAGCTGAATTTCTGACTAAAACTGAACAGAAGAAATGCAAGAATACGCAAACCGTATTGCTCGATGGATATTACCTACTTTTTGAGCACTATAAATCTACAAGCAAAAAAACATCTGTTTATATCTTGAAACTTTGCCCCGTGAAATAATGCACATGCTTTGAAGAAAATCTAAGAGGAGGTAGGCTTGTTAAAATAAGAACCTGGAAATATTTTGAAGGAATAATACAACAATTTTATTGAATTCGCATTTTGCATGATGTGAAGAATTATGCTGATCTTGGAAGCTGTTATCTTCAATTCTTCACATGATACTCAGGAAAAGAAACCCCCGAGAAAACCATAATCTGTTGTAACTCAAGCTTTGTTTGAACCCTAAAAGATACCATTCTAAACTAAAAAGAGGCAGCCAAATATGAGTGATAGAGATTTAAATTATATGATGAAGTCATTGTCATAAAAACTTACCACAACAGTGTTGTAATGGGCACTCTCAAAACGGAGAACAACCCTGATAAGATCTGACTTCCATGCCTTAGGAGCAAAAACCTCCTTGTCATACCAGACCCAGCCAATGAAGTCTCTNTTTTATTGAATTCGCATTTTGCATGATGTGAAGAATTATGCTGATCTTGGAAGCTGTTATCTTCAATTCTTCACATGATACTCAGGAAAAGAAACCCCCGAGAAAACCATAATCTGTTGTAACTCAAGCTTTGTTTGAACCCTAAAAGATACCATTCTAAACTAAAAAGAGGCAGCCAAATATGAGTGATAGAGATTTAAATTATATGATGAAGTCATTGTCATAAAAACTTACCACAACAGTGTTGTAATGGGCACTCTCAAAACGGAGAACAACCCTGATAAGATCTGACTTCCATGCCTTAGGAGCAAAAACCTCCTTGTCATACCAGACCCAGCCAATGAAGTCTCTTAAGTTACGTTCTTGGGTAATGTCATTGTAGCTTGATGGTACTGGCATATGGATGACTTCACCAGTCTAAAAGGAGGAAACATGAACATGTATGAGTGTAGTTGACTATTGTTGTCTTGTCGACTGGTGCTCTTGTCTGTAAGCATGTTTATTTAGGGGCATTTGAACACACAATATTTATCCAATCCCAAATACAATAGTAATATACAGACAAGAACATGGCTAGCTCCTTAATACGTGAAATTCAGACTAGGAATGTACCTAGCCTCCTAGGAGGGCTCCAATATCTTCTTCTCAAAATAGATTTTCTCCTTCCTCCATCTGTTTTGAAGGAAAATTTCACCTTTATAAACTGTACACATTGTATTCTATGAGTGTGTGTATGAAGGATATGGCCATTTGAAAGTTCATATGTGCATTAATATATATGTTACAGGTCAAATTTGATTACAGGTTAACTTATTTTAACCTGGGTTGATTCTCAATTTCCTTTGTCTCTTAGGGCTAGGTGACAAAGGAATTGAGAATCAAACAAGGTTAAATCAAATTTAACCTGAAATCCAATTTGACCTGTCACATATACACTCTCACAAAAAAGGTTATATAAATATTGATGTTAAAAAGATAATGTTCAAGAATGCATAAAAAAAAATGCAAAAATATGACATAATATTGGGAGTAAGGAGCAATCAAAATGGCTATGGCAACAGGAATGTGCAAAAAGCAATAGGTTTAACAAACAAAAGAACAAGTTTGCACATTTTGCTACAAATTATATAAGCCTAGGTGAAAACCAAATCCTGACAGCATTTATTGAGTTTGTCTTACTTCATCATGTGACATTTTCCATCCTTTATGATTTAAGCTTAGTCATGATCAGTTTTAATTATTTTTAAACTACTAAATGAGAAATTTCTGCAATTTGATTGGCTTAGAGCAGCGGTATTTCAGCTTAATTTGAAATACCTACAAGTGAAAATTACAAACCTTTGCGGGTAGTAGTATAAGCAAATAATAGCATGATTTGTACGTGATATTTGGCATAAATACCACTCGTGATATTTCAAAATTATCTCAATTTTTCCTCGCCTAACGGCTCGTGAAGTTACCTCTGACAATCTCGAAATATCACCCGTGGTATTTATGCCAAATATCATTACAAATCATGCTATTACCCATACAAATACACATTCCACGCAAATCAGAGCTACGTTGTTTAGAGAATTCTAAATGTGCGAAATGAAAAGGCGCAGCTTTTGGTTCCAACTATCTGAACAGTTTTAATGATTTTTATAAATTGAGCCATTATAATCCTACCTCCCAAAGAGGTTTAGCATACCACTGTTGCTCAAAGCCGGCGTTTCTGTTTGCTGACATATCAGCCCGGAAGTTCCAGAATCCACTCAAATCCTTGACTTGCCGACTTTCAGAGTCCCTAGGAAATAACATTCCTGGTAGCTTAGACGCGGAGGTGGCTTGAGAAAGGCGAACCGTCGAAAATACAGCCAGAGACAGTAAAAGAACTGAAAGGGACTCCATCTTCATCATGCAGAGTACGAGCTGACAATGCACTGCCAGTGGGGGCTGGGACTAGAGGAAGGTAGCTGGGGGAGTTGGCGGGGGGTGGGGTCAGCTTTCTGCCACGATTGTTTTCTTTTTCTTAAAAAGGAAAACAGACTTAACATTATTATGTATTACTCTTCCTTTCAAAAATAGAACCCCTCTGTTTAGACCCATCTCTGTTTAGACTTCCCTCCCACAGCATACTTTCTTCAACAGAGCTGTGGAGAGGGAGCTGGTAACAGCAACAGGTTTTCGCGGGTCTCTTCACCGATCGCACGGCCCGATCGCACGCAACATGGCGTCTTTTTATAAGAAATGTTTTCTAGGATTTTATGTTGTATTGTCCTTAAATGTCATCGTTATAATGGCGTCCTTACCCGGTATGTTATTCCCTAAAGATTCGGAGCGTCGAGAAGTGAAAGATTTGAGCGGTTTGTGGGATTTTCGAGCCGATATGTCGGACAATAGAAATGGCGGCTTTGAAAAGATGTGGTTCGCCAAACCATTGTGGCAGGTAAGAACATGTCTTTTGATATTAAAGTAAAAACCCATTTTCATGAAAGAAATGTTTTCTTAACTTGAAGGAGAGTTGCTTTTTCATTAGTTTTGTGGACGCTGCAAAAGCGGGAGATGATGATCATTTGTTGTCCGACACCACAAATTTCCTAACAGGAAGAGCTTTCAGGGAATCCCCCTGCATGCTTTTACCAAACGATTTTAAATTTTATAGCTGCTTTTGATTACTGAAAAGTTCCGCGTAATTAAATAGCACTGGAAGATACTTCGGTTTTTCTTTTGGTTTTGTGTTTTGACCTGTCATATTTTGAAACAAACGAGTTAGACGGGTGTTTCAAATTTACCAGCCAAATTTGACCGTGAAGATGAGGAATATCCTTCTTTGAACTACAATAAAAATTCAAGCCTACAGAATGCGCGTTTTTATTTTCCAAGAATGATTTAAACCTGAAACACGTCAAGCTCTTGGTTACATGGTATTAAATAACAAATCTTTTCATAGATAGATATTTAAATAATTTATTACCTTCACGGCAGTTCTCAGTTCTAAAAGGTAGTATGTTATAAATAAGTGAGTGCACAAACTCATAAGTGATGGCGACAGTCAGGTCACTAAAAATAACACAAATTTAGAACCTTTACGAGATGTGTTTTTCAAATGGTGGATATTGTAGAGAATAATCTGAAGTAAAAAGTTGTAACTTTCAAGCTGCCTCAAAACTCTAGCTTATTAATATTAGGAGGGGTTAAAACCTAAACCGTTTCAGATGATTGATAGCAGGGATGTGCAGATAAATCGAGCGGATAGGACCTAGCTTAAGTCTTTAATGCATTTACTTTTGGTTCCCAGATTTTCTTCTTTATTAGTTACTTTTTCTGAACTGTCCCTCTTGTAACATTTTTATATAGTAATGTAGAACTGTATATTTCCCATACCCTTTTCCTCAGAGCTCACTCATTCTTCGCATATGAGGCCCTCTTAGGGGGGGTAGGTATCTCCCTAGTCTAAATTTCAAATACAGTCGTTTTGCGTTTCGAGGAGTTGGCCATGTCCCTGTCGGTATTTAACCCATTTTTATGTTGTTTATCACCATTTCATCTGTTTTACGTAGCTGTTTCAAGGCCATGCTGCTCTTCAGAATTTTACCCTAACAGAGCCTTACTCATCCTATTTACCTAATCCCTGGCTTGTTACTCTGGTCAATCTACAGCTTACCTTTTAGAGAGTCTGGAACAAAACAAGAAAAAGATTTCCAGAAATCTCAATTAATAATTCTTATGTCCTCCAGATATTGGGTCAGTACAACTAATTTCGGTATCATCTGATAGTTTCTTTTAATTATATTGACATTTTGGGTGTCTCATTTTATTTCTCAGTCTGGTGAAGTAATTCCAATGCCTGTTCCATCAAGCTTTAATGATATCACTGAAGACCGCAGCCTGAGGGACTTTGTTGGCTGGGTGTGGTATGAGAAGGAAGTTTATGTGCCCAGGTCGTGGGAAAATAATACCACCAGGGTAGTCCTTCGCTTTGAGGCTACAAACTATCACACCATAGTGGTAAGACATCAAAAATTGCTGCAGATTTAGGAGCAAAAGTTGTCTGGGCTGGTCTATATTTTTTTATATTAAAATATATCATGTTGTTTATTTTTTGTTATATCAGTGGGTCAACAGCAAACAGGTCATGACACACTCAGGGGGTCATCTGCCATTTGAAGTTGATGTAACACCTCTTCTCACCTATGATAAACCCAACAGAATCACAGCTGCCATTAACAACACACTTACACCTACCACCCTACCCCCAGGAGAAATAAAATACCTTACAGGGGGAGACTGGTGAGTAACCAAGGTCATACTTTCAGAAAAAACAATAATGAAGAGCCCTAAAATTCTAATACTGTGAAACACGAGGAGCCGCAAGCAGTAAAATTTCTGTCCCGTAATTTAATCAGTTAAATCATCAAAGTTGACAGGTCTTTCTGATGATCAAAGCGACCGTTCGGTTACCATTTACACCTTCAGTGCAAAGACTGTCACCGGAACATTAACGCCCTCAGGATAATTGCTTACCATAACAGTGGTAGGTCGCGCGCGTCTGGTCGGTTTCGAAGAACGTGATCGTGACTGTTGTTTTCATTCAGAGACTGTGCGCGTTGATATGCCAACGTTTAAAACAGACTGCAACATTAAATTTTTGTTATAAAAGCAAAGAAGCTGCTGAGTAGAAACTAAACCGTCCCAGACTTATTCCGTTTCATTCGTGTACTTTCATTT